GCTTAAAGAGTTAAAAAAAGTAAAAAGTATAGTTTTTTTCTATAGCATTTTGCAGTCTTATTTAGAAATTAAAAAAAAAGTTTTTCCATTCAGCTGTGAGTCAGCTTTTAGTTTAGTGGGGAAAAAATGAAATTTGGTGGGGGGGCGTGGCTGATGCAGCATTTTTTCTGTAGACAATCATATAACATTGGCTTTGGAGTCATATAAATCTAGATTTTTATCCAGCATTGTTCTACTACTTACAAAAACTTAAAAACTTTAGGGATATACTATTCAGAGCCTCAGTGTTTTTACCTCTAATACAGTATATATAAATAGTTACCTCTTCCTGGCTTGTTGAGAAGTCTGAATGAAATATTAAACCAAGTACTGACATAGTTCTTAAAACATAGTAGGTATTCAATACATTGTTTATTTCTCTACCTTCAGTGAATTGACCTTTGAAGCATAGGGCTACTATATGAAGAACTCATAAATGATTAGGGGAGAGTTTTTACAGGAAAGGTTATCAGAAATTTGAAAGGAACAGCTCTTTCCAAACAGAAAGATAGCTAGAATCTTTTTCAGTAGTCTGTAACTTCTTCTAGTAGTCTTTCGAAAAAGTGATTTTGGAGTTTTTAAAATGTTTCTTGTATTGATTCTAATTCAACATTTGTTTCACATGGTGTCTACAGAAAGTCTAGAAGTATTACAGTATCACAGAAAACTGAGTAACAGCAGATATAAGTTTTCAGGGTTTATTCAATTAACTAGATCACATTCATTTGATCACATCACATTCATTAAGTGACATCAGATGACAATTGGAAGAAACCCTGTAGTCTTTTTTTTAAAAAATATTTTCTTAGTTGTAGATAGACACAATACCTTTATTTATTTATTCATTCATTCATTCATTCAAATATGGTGCTGAGAATTGATTACAGGGCCTCACACATGCGAGGCAAGTACTTTACCATGAGCCACAATCCCGTATTGACATTAGATAGGAGCCACATGACATGTGTCTTGAGTTCATCCAGAAGATGTAATAAACACTGTATTTATTTGTACCACAATGCCAACTTTTATAGTTTTCTTTGAAATATTAATAACTTACACACATAATCATGTAGGTTTTAAAAAACTACATCAGCATAGGTTTCATAATTGTTAAATAGATATAATTGCACAAGGTTTTGAGTCTATTTTTTTTCAAGAGTCTTATTTCTTATTTGCAGATAATCTGTTACCTGACATATTTATATAAGTTCACAGGTTATTAAGAAGATTAAAAATTAATAAGATAATTTGAATTCAGATTATAAAATAGTTAAAGTCTATTCTGATGAAGCAATTTAACTTAGTCTTGAGGCTTTGGGTCTGCTTTCTAGTTACAAAATTTATTTTTTAGTAAAATATTTAAGTATATATAATTACCTATTAGGTTGCTGGTTATTTAAAAGGTACTGTTTTCTTAGTATTTTTTGCCAATATTTGTCTTATGGGGACCAAAAAAATTCAAAATAAATTGTTTATTTGTAATTTTTTATCTTTAGTTCAGTTTTATGCAGTTGAACTTGGTTCTAAAATAGAAAATTTGGGAGGCATATTTTCCATCTACCAAAATGTGAATCTTCATTTTATTTTGAAATAAACACTTCTGTTTTAAGAATGTGAATGGTAGTAGTAAATGCCAAACTCTCCCTCCCAATTTTTTAAACTACTGGTACCTTTTTTATTTAAGAGAAAACATAAATATGAGATATTTTCAGATCATAAAAGGTTTCTTTTTTCGAACCTTTTAAGAATGGATTTCATTATTCAAAAAACTATAGTCATTCTAAGTTGTGACTGCCTTTTTAAAATACCCCCCCCCACCACCACCCCACACCCCTGCCCTCCACCGCCCCCCACACACACACAGGGAAATCTTTTCCAACTGTGACTGTTCCCAAAGAATTATTTAATCGAGATTTAGTCAATTCTATTGTGGTTATTCCAACAAAGTTTCACTGAGTAGCCATTATGTTCCTGGATGCTCTCTCTGAAAAGAATCTGGCAATGGACAAAAACAATCCCTTATTTTTCAAAAGCTTACAGTCTAGAGACAGACACTAAACTAAACATACAAATAAATATGTAATGAAATATCAGTTTGTGATAAGTGTTAAGAAAGAAAATCAGAGTAAGAGGCCAGAGTGATTTTAAATGAACACTGAGAAATTACAGGTTTTTTCATTTGAAACATGAATTTTTGGGCTTGTCTTTTAAACTTTGCTTTTGTCTGTTTCTTGGTGAGATTTTCTAAAAGAAATTAAGAATTCACTGTACATATTTCATATACTAATTTAAAAATCTAGCTCCAACTAGTGAATTTAGCATTTACCAAAGGAGATGTCTATAGAGGAATAAAATCTTTAGTTAATCACTACTTTACTTTTAGCAGTAAAGTCTGCAGCTCATGAAATTTATAATTCTGGAGTGGTTTCAGCTTGCACCAGCCCCTGGGGAGCCTGTTGATACGGCACTGAGTTACAGGTTATTATTCAGCTGTAGAAGTTTAATGCTTAGACATTTTTTTTTTTAAATCTTCCTTTCTCAGTCAGTTGAAATCTTGTATTTTTGCCAAATAAAACAAATCTCATACTAATAAGAAGCTAAAAATAAACAGTAGGAGCATGAGTCAGAACCAGCATCACCGTATTCCTTCTGTGTACCTCTCTGGTACTCCGCAATATGTTCATTTTGCACAAACATGAATTACTACATAACTACTGTTTTACAGATGAACATTGATAATTTAAGTGAGGTCTATTTTTTAGAAGAAAGTAATACTGTAACTGAATAGTAACTGGTAGAATTCTGGCCTATTACCAGAATGTGAAAGCAGAATGTGAAGCTCTGCATGCAATTGATGAAAGAAAAAAAGAAATATATTTCCTACTTTTCTGTTGAAAGCCCTAAAGAGTTCAATCTGGATACTGCTCTTAGATCTCCAGAATGGATTTTTATATGATTTAGCATAATTCAGCAGTTTTTCAAGGGGGAAAAACCACCAGTAAGTTGCTCGAAAGTCCCGTCTCTTCTGCTCTTCAGGTCCTATCTGCGAAAATCTTATCCTGTCTTGCTTTATTGTTTTATTCATGCAGTAAACTTTCATTGAACACATACTGTTACCAGACACTGTGCTACCATAGAATATATAAAAACAAGCTAAAATCTTTGTTCTCAGGGAATTTAGAAAAGTGGCTCGTAAATCCAGAATTACAACATTTGGATAGTATCTGTAAAAAAAGATATAAAAACGAATGCCCCGAGATTACACATAAAACTACTACTGTTTATAAAGCACTTATTGTCCTTGATGTTTTATATAAGTTATTTCATTTAATCCTTTGAACAGCTTTATGAGGTCGATATTATTTAACTTGTGCCAGCAGCACTAACTTATCAAGGAAGGAGGAAGTGGTATCAGAGAATTGAAAAAACATTTCTTGAGTTGATTATGGAAGAATGAGTATGGTAGAGAGTGGGAAGAAGATGAGGCAGTGTGGCATTTCACACAGAGAGCTGCATATGTAAATGTGCAGGACTCTTGAGAGAACTGTTATTGGAAATAGAGTAGGTTCTGGGAAATAAATCATGGCAGGATCCAGAAAATGAAGGAGCTCATAGGCCATGACTAAGGAATTTGGTCCTTACCCTGTAGAAGACAGAAATATGATTAGAATTGCATTTCAGGAAGAAACTGTGTAATTGTTTGCACAAGGCATTTAGAAAGATTTTATTTTAAGGAAATAATTTCCTTTAATGGAAGAAATTCTCCTCAAGCACTGACTTATGTTTATCAAAGACAGCAAGTCCCTCTACATAATTTATTTCTGAATTTGCAGCAATCTAGGAGAAAGAATGAAGGAAGGGGAAGTGATTTATTTGTCAACCCTAGAAACTGGCTCTGTTAGGGTTTTTAACGATGACAGTGTAAAATTAAGCATTTTACAATATTTACTAGAGGGTATTCATAACTGGTAAATTAATTCACTGAGCTAGATAACTGAAGATCCATTGCAACTCAGAGGTAAAAAATTCTGTAAATACAAGAAGATAAATATTACTACCTACCAAAGTCTTAAGATTATCTGAATTTAGTCCTATTGATTATATCTCTCCTAAGTTTTATACACAGAGAAATCAGTGAAAAATGTATTTGAAGGATTAAATGCCAAACCATATTTCAAGCTTACATTTATGTACAGTAGTTGACACAACAACAGTTGCTTAGGATAGTTTTGAAAATGGAATTCACATATAGGACACAGAATTATTTCTTTACAGAGCATAATTTCAGAGTTGGGGGATATAAAAAAGGATAAATTAATCCATAAGTTTGGAAGTATTTCTAAAAAGAAGAGTGGTATGTTAGTTTCTGGCACCACTATATGATGAACCCTGCTGGTTGTGGAGAAAGGAGAAACTGATCTGAACAAGACCACACTCTACACAGCTGTCCCTGGCATTCTTCCACCTGTTAGAGCCCAGGATTAATTTCATGAGTTGAACCAAAGCATGAAACTGTATTATATAATTTTTAGAAAACAACTGCTGATTGCTGATAGTTGATGGGGGAAGAAAAATTAAGAGCTATAATTTTCCTACCAGCCATTATTCATGTTAACAAGGACTGGAAATATTATGAATGAATAAAACTCTTACATCAGATCAGAAAAAATAACAGCTGAATCCCCTAAAGGATTATATATTCTATTATCAGACATCTGAAGAAAATAATTCCATTTAAGTGGCTGCATTAATCAGCATGATAATATAAGTAGAAAGAATCTTGCCCATTTTTCTAAAACAGCAACTAGAAATATTTACTTTTTGAAAATAGAATAACCATTTGTTAAAACATATATATTATATATGTGTGTGTGTGTGTATATATATATATATATATATATATATATATATATATATAAAATGAGAATATTTTTATGTTCCCATGCTTTGCAGGAGTTTACAATCTTAACTGAAATGACAGCTACATATGAAACTAATTATACTAAAGCATATTTAAAATAATCTTTTTAAAGATTTAATAATATTAGTATAAAAGTCAAGGTCATGGACTTTGTGTTGTTGCACAGAACAAAAGGAAATATGTCAGAGGAAGAAAAAGGAATATAAATCAATTGTCTGAGATTTTTAGGTCATAGAATTTGTCCTAATTCCAGAAGCCTTTAGGGAAAAGGTAGTTACTTTTTATTTTGAAATAATTTCAAACTTACAGAAAAGTTATAATACTGAATTCCCATACCCCCTTTATTCAGATTCATCAGTTTTTGACATTTGCCCTCATTCTTTCTATACATACAACTTATTTTCCTGAGCCATCTTAGAATAGGTTAAATACAAAATACATCCTCTTCCTCCTCCTTATCTTCCTCCTCCTTGTCTTCCTCCTCCTTCTCCCCTTTCACCTTTCCTCCCACAGCTCCTTTTTTTTTTTTTTTTATTGTACTGGAAATAGATCCCAGGGGCACTCTACCACTGAGCTATATTCCCAGCCCCCTCTCCCTTTTATTAATTTTTATTTTGAGATGGGGTCTTGCTAAGTTGCTGAGGCCAGCCTCAAACTTGAGATCCTTCTGCCTCAGCCTCCTGAATCACTGGGATTGCATACTTTATTCTTTAATAACAGTAGTATGTATATTCTAAAAACAAAGGTGTTCATTCTGGAATCACAATATAGTTATCAAATTCAGGAAATATGACCTTGATACTCCAATCTAGCATCTGTATTTAAATTTTGTTAATTGTCCCCGAAAAGATGACGTTTTTGTTGTTGTTTGGTGCTGGGGATTGAACCCAGGGCCTCACCCACATGCTGTACCACTGAGCTACATTCCCAGCTAAAAAGATGAGTTTTAAGAAGAGTCATGTAACAATTTTTATAATTTAAACTTTAAAACTTGTGGGAATTAAGCCATAGAAGACCTCAGAAGTTTGGTAATGATTGAAAAAGTATTTAACAGGAAAGCATGAATGCGCAGGCTCAGATTACAATATAGATTGGATTTACCTGCCCTCATACGAGAGTTTAGTTCTGGAGAGCCCATTTGGTGAAGTAGTTCCTAGGAGGCTGTGTATTCTGGATGCAGGGACGGTGCATTTTGTTGAGCTTCCATGTAAAAAGTACACTGACTTGTCATTACCGGGTCTTTACAATACTTAAACGATCTTCTTTGGAACTTCTGTTTGTGTTCAGGCTTCCGGCCAGCTAGGCCAAGGTAGGGAGGGACAGCTTGGGGAAGCAGATCCTGCCATATATCCCCAACAACGTGGTCCCTGACGCCTTAGCAGCCAGACGTCTGAAATGTCGGTTCTCGGAGACTTTGCAGGACCTGCGACCCTTCCTCGTCCACCTAAGGCACCGTCGCAGGTGTGATTGGGCGCGGGCGCCAGACTCCGGACGTCATTTCCGGTTTGGTCTGTTGGGAGTTGGTGACCGCAGCCGAGGCCAAGTCCAGCCTGCCAAGGTTGTGTCAGCCCCAACACTGGACGCCTCTGGAAGCCATGGCTTCCCCGCTGAAGCTAGAGCAAGACGTGCAGGGGAAAGTAGATTCGTTCCGTGCCCGTATCGCACAGGAGGCCGAGGATCTGGTGTCCACCTTCTTCCCCCAGAAGTTGTCAGAGCTGGATAGCCGGGTCCAGGAGCTCCGGCTGCAAGACCTGTCCAGAATCCGTTCGGTGCCAGCCCCGGAGCCGCCCGCCACCCCAGACACCACGGGGGATGGTCCCAACCGGGATCCTCTGCCTCTGCAGACCCAGTATTCAGTCAAGGTGCCTGGTGGCGAGGGACGTCTTCTGAGGAGCAACCAGCATCTGGTGGAGCTGATTGAACGGGTAAAACCTGAGATTGAGCTGCTGAGAGAGAAATGCAACACTGTGCGGATGTGGGTGCAGCTGCTCATCCCGAAGGTGGAAGACGGCAATAACTTTGGAGTGTCTATCCAGGAAGACACCGTGGACCAGCTATGGACTGTGGAGAGCACAGCAGCCTCCTACCTACGCCGCTTCTCCACCTACTATAACACCCGGGCCAAACTGGTGTCCAAGATAGTGAAGTACCCCCAAGTGGAAGATTATCGCCGCACCGTAGCAGAGGTCGACGAAAACGAGTACTTGAGCGTACGACAGATCCTGCTGCATGTGCGGAACCAGTATGCCACCTTGCATGATGTGATCCTCAAAAATATTGAGAAAATCAAGACCCCTAGGAGCACCAACACCGACAACCTGTACTGAAGACCTTTCTCCACCCCTCTTTACTTCAGGAGTTGGCCTAGCTGTTAAGGCAGCTAGAAGGCTGGTTATTAACGACTCTACAGATGATCGAAATGACTGGAAACCTGTTACCATTTAGTTAGAATTTCATACAGCTATCCTCACACTGAATCCTCTTTTGGTATTATTTTTTATTTCCCTTTTGGGGTAGTATGGGGACAAACCATCTGGTAGAATGTGGTAAGGTTGTCCAAGGAGAAAGGACTGCCATTTTAAAAGCAGCTTTGTGGATGATTGTTGGCCAAGGTTTATTTATTATGGCATTGATGACATTGAATGGCTTCAGGGGTTCCTTATAAAGTTTAAAGGAGAGTTAAATGAAACTTTTCCTGAGCTTCTACTAAATGTTACTTTTTCAAAACTGAGAAATACTCCTTAACACCATAATTTTTTTTCCAAGAAGGGAGTTTAAAGAGACATGTTTAGGTCATTGTATGCCTCCAATTTAGCAGATTGAAATAAAACATGATTATATCATTTTATGATGGTCTGTTGTACTTATCTGAACTTTAATTTTCAGAAGTATGGGGTTCCCCTCCTCCTCAGTTGTACTCACACCCTTGATATTTTTCCATACTGATACATAAGAATAGATTCTAGTTCTCCTAAAGAAACGAACTTCCACCTTTCTTAGAATGAAGAGAAATCTGTGAACAAGGCTTTCTTACATAACCTTCTTCTGCATATACATTTATCTCAGAAATGCATGGTAAACCCTTCAAGTCTTAAATCACATTTACTTTTTAAAGCCCTTGTTAGAATTTCCCTCTCACATCGTATTGGTCATTCTTTCAATATAAATGTGACTGGTTCTTCTTCCATCTGCTTGCTTTGCTGTCTTGTTGAGGGGAAACCTGTTTATAGTTCTCAACAGTCACCTGTACTACTGGTATTTTTAAAGTTAAGCATTTACAGATTTCATTTACAGGTAAGGTAAAGTACTGTTCTGTGAGCCATGTTATGCACCATGGAGAATTTGGGGGCTTATAATGTGATGTGATGAATTAGTCCTTTTTCCAAAAAGGTTTTGTTCAGAGTTTCATCTTTTTTGATGATAAAAGTAATTTAGTCACTTGAAATATATTTATTCAAAACACCATTGTCTCAGTGTAATTTGAGGATATTGACCACTCAACACTATCCATGAAAATTATAAATTTTTATCTATAGTTATACCAAGTTTGATAAGAGGGTGAGTATGAGTTAATTTTTGATGTCTTTTAGTTTATAGGGATGAGATTATTTCTATGCATAATTGACAGCTTCATCTCTTTTTCACATTTAACTAACTAGACTGTGCTCTGAATTCTCATGATATTTTTAAGACTATATATAAAAAGGTATATCCTTAATCTTTTAATATATTTTGTAATAATATTTGCAAGCAACAATTTACTTCTCACATGAACTTTTTGTAGGAAAATTATGGAGAGTAAACTTATATTTTTGTAAGAAATGAGAATATATTTTCCAATGAAATTTTTTTTCTACATAAGACCTTGTAAAACAAGGTGACCATATAAGAATCAGAGTCTAGTATCTATTATTAAATCATTTGTAATTCCACTTTTTATTTTCCTTTATAGAATATCTTTGTAAGGATAGAACAAGATGATTTCTTGCTGTAAATGAAATTAGCCTGATATCTTGCTATAACATGACTATATTATCTTTTTTTAAAAAAAAACTGATTCTAAGAATTCTCCTTCCCCACTACCAATTTCCCCATTTAATAAGATAAATCACTTTTGAATGAGACTTTTTTCCTTTCAGAGGGTCTTCAGAAATATGTTTTGGTTACCAAGGGTGAAAAACAACATGAATCTTGCTTGTGCAGACTTGACTCTAAAAGCTGCTGTAAAAATGATTTCCTACTTAGCAACAAGAATTTTTTGACGTGTAAAGCTAAGGTGTATTCTTTTGCATGTTTTTTTAAAAAATAAATATTTCTGAGTTTGAACCCATTATTGGTGGGTGGTTTTTTTGGTTATTCTAAGGGAGTAGTGACACTCATAGTTTTTCTGAGGCAATGTCATTATCTGTCCAGAAAGTATCTGATTCCTGGAATTTCATTTGCTTTTTCACTTTCTTGTCTGTGTCACCTGAAGGAATAAAAAAGGAATATATTTCTCCATGAACAAGGAGAATTAATTTGAGACACAAAATTGTTTTAATCACCATTTAAAAATTTTTATCTATAGTTATACCCAGAAAATGTACTTTATACTTTGGGCCATACTAAAATGCATATGAATATTTGCCTATTCTAAACCATGGAAATTGAAAAAAAAATTGTAAGCTGGCTTAGTGGAAAGTTTATTTTTAAAGTAAACTTCCCAAATATGAAAACAAGGTAAAACAGGTTTATTCTTTATATATATATATATATATATATATATATATATATATATATATATATATATTCATTCAGATGTATTCTTAAAAAAATACCAAAAAAATGACCAAAAAAAAAAAAAAAAGGATTCCCTAATAGACATCTTGCTTGCATTTCACCTCTGCCTCCCAAGAGTTCTCTTTATTTCCCTTCTAAGGTTTATACTTGATTCAGAAAAGTGCCAGGAATTTCATCATTTGAATGGCATTTAGTTGTTCACAAGTGTGAAATGGACTATGTAAGGAGCATCTAAGTGTTGCTTCATTTTTCAACTAACAGTAATCCTCTATGGTTTTAAAAGATCTGTTCTTTGCATAATAGCAATCATCTTTGTGCTGTTCTTTTTACTCTTAAACTATTAAACGCTAAGCCAGACTGAAATAAATTGTTTCTAATCCCAGGCATTCCTTTTACTAAGAAAATATCCAAGTACTTTGTATTAAAGATTTCTGGTATTTACATTTTGCTTCCTGCTCTAACACTGTATCAAACTAAATTGATGGTGGAATGCAAAGTCCCTACTTTGCAAAAATGAATCCCTTTGTGATTTTCCCCTTTCTCGAAAATGGTTGGAAAAGCTTTTATAGTAATAAGCCTATTTTAGAATTAATGTTAAAACATGGTATCCATTATGAATCAGTTCTCTGTTATTTGAGTAGAGATTTAAAGCCTGTTTTGTCCCTTTTAATAAGACAACTGAAAAGAGGAGGAGAAATAATATGCATTGTATGTTTACGAAGTAGGTTTACATTGAAGAAAACTTCAGAAATGAAAAGACCTGCCATGTTCATGGATAGGCAGAATTAATGTTGTTAAAATGGCCATTCTACCAAAAGCAATATACATATTCAGTGCAATCCCCATCAAAATACCAGTGATATTCTTCATGAAATTTTTTTAAAAGTCCTAAAATTCATTTGAAAGAAAGACTGATAAGAGCCAAAGCAATTCTAAGCCAAAAAAGCAATGCTAGAGGCCATAATACCTGACTTCGGATTATAATATGGAGCTATAGTAACAAAAACTGCATGGTACTGGCATAAAAACATACATAGATCAGTGGTACAGAACAGAAGACACAGAGACAGACCCATACATCTATCATCATCTGATCCTTGGCAAAGGTGAAAAAACATACATTGGAGAAAAGAGCTCTTTTAAGAAATGGTGCTGAGACAACTGGTTATCCATATGTAGAAGAATGAAACTAGACCCTTATTTCTCAGCCTGCACAAAAATCAACTCAAAATGGATCAAACACCTTGGAATTAGACCAGAAACTATGCAACTTCTAGAATAAATAAAGTAGGGTCAGGAGGCTGGGGCTGTAGCTCAGTGATACAGTGCTTGCCTAGTGTGTATGAAGCACTGGGTTCAATCCTCAATACCACATAAAAAATAAACAAATAAAATAAAGGCATTGTGTCCATCTACAACTAAAAATATATTTTTAAAAAATGTAGGGTCAACATTCCAGGGCTCCTAAAGTTAATAAATGGGATGGTGTCAAATTAAAAAGCTCTGCACAACAAAGGAAACAATTTGGAATGTGAAGAGAGAACCTAAAGAACCTGAGGAAATCTTTGCTAGTTACTCTTCTGACAGAGGATTAACATCTAGAAGATATAAAGGAAGAAAAAACTTTACACCAAAAATCAAATAACCCAGTTAATGAATGGGCAGGTGAATTAAACAGACACTTCTCAGAAGAAATACAAATGGCCAACAGATATATAAAAAAAGTTCAACATTATTAGCAATTAGAGAAATACAAATCAAAACCATACTAAGAATCATCTCACACCAGTCATAACGGCAATCATCAAAAATACAAATAATAATAAATGCTGGAGAGGATGTGAAGAAAAAGGACCTTTTACATTGTTGGTAGGACTGTAAATTAGTATAAGCACTACGGAAATCAGTATGGAGGTTTCCTAAAAGACTAGGCATTGCATCACCATATGTCCCAGCTATACCACTCTTCCATATTTATCCTAAAGAATTAAAGTCATCAAGTATCACTATGTATCATCATAGTGATATATGCATACCCATGTTTATGGCAGCACCAATCTAGTCTATCAACAGTTGAATGGATAAAGAGAAAATCAATGTGTATACACACACACACACACACACACAATGGAATTTTATTCAGCCATAAAGAAAATTGAAATTATATCATTTGCAGGAAAATAGGTAGAACTAGAGACCATTATGTTGAGCAAAATAAGTCAAACTTAGAAGGTCAAGGGTCCAAGAGTCTTAAGTTTTCTTTCATATATGGAAGCTAGAGAGGAAAAGGAAAAGAAAGTGGGGGTTGGGGGCCTCATGAAAATCAAAGGGAGATCAGTAGAGGAAAGGGACCAGTGTGTGGGACGTAGGGTTGAAGGGGGAAATGCTGGGGAGTGATATTGCCCAAATTGTTAAATTGTGTGCATGTTCAAATATGTAACAGGTCCCACCCATCATTATATACAACTATAATGCACCAGTAAAAATGTGGAGAAAAATTGTTTTTAAAAATCATTTTGGAATTAAATAATTTTAGTTTTAAATTCTCTGTAATTCATGAAAGTCACTAAAATTTGATTGGAAACTCTAAGATTAGTCAATCTGTATTTTTTTTTTAAATTTATTGCTATTTTATAATTTTACATAATAATGGGATTCATTAAGTGTGTTATAATTATAATGCAAAAGCAGAAATTATTGTGTTATATTTGTATATGGTTTTTAGAATGTAGTGAAATACCTTTCCATGCTTGATCTTAGCCAAAAAGCTGAAAGGCAGTGGAATAACTTTCTTAAACCACATAAATGGTGTTAGAGTCACAATTTTAAAGTTGTTCTTAAGCTTTTGAGTTTTGAGTTTTAAAAATTCCACAATTGTTTATATACATTTTGTATCAGAGACAACACTTTTTGTAGTTTCTATGAGGTTTACATATTCCTATAGATCTCTTACCAAATGATTTGAATAATTAACAGATAACTAGGTGATCAATTTAAAATATTTGTTTTGTTTTTAATTTCAAAAGGACTGTCTCACTGCTTAGAAATTTGAAATATCAAAAAGGAGAACTCACCCATAGCATACTAGTCTAACAAAAATATTGAAATTTATGTGTTTCACTTATTTTAAAGGATGTATATATGTTTTTACATCATATCAATTTAACATGCATACTTTTGTAAAGGATAAGCATATTTTAGTTTGTTTTAATATTATAATTTTATTTGACTGATATCTTCAGATTCAGATAACAATAGATAAGTCCCCATCCATTCTGTCTTCCAAAGATTCTTAAGGTTCTGTTCCCTAATTGTGAGAATATTTGTCTGCATCAGGATTTTGTTTTGTCTTTTTTAAAATTAAGAGTGAGAAAAATAGAAATAAATAAAATTAAGAGTGAGAAAAATAGAAATCAAGTGGTTGAAAGGACATGACTATAAGAATATCCAGATAGATGAGGAATTACTATGTTGTTATTGTTGTGTGTGTGTTCACACACGAATTGAACCCAGGACATCTCATATGCAGGCAAACACTTTACCACTGCATTTTACTTCCATCCCTATTCTACTTTTAAATTGGGCCTCCATAATTGGTTTAGCAATATATCTGTGTTCATTTTATTATTTCTTACCTACCTCCTGCTCGTCCTGAAAAAGCATTTAATCATCTGTATTAAAGATCTCCAACAAAGCAATCACATTTTCTTATACAGATCCCGTGAATTGTTCTGCTTATGTGATTTGGTATGAGTAGGAGGGAATCTGACTTCTGTCAACATTTAAACATTTATGAAAAATGCTATTGTTCATTGACATCAAGGCATTTAAAAAAAAAAGTGGGGGGAGGGACCAAAACAAAAACAAAGGATCCAGTCAGTTAAAGAAACAGGTGCTGTTCTCTGCTCTCTGCATTCAAAAATTTTGCTGTCAAGATATAGATATATTTGCCTACCTTGAACTGAAATTATCTGTGGTAAACACAGTTTTATATAAGTTTCATTGTCTTTTCATCAACTGGTGTTTTTTCTTTGCTTTCTATACTTTGGTGAGTCTTCAAGGTCCGTCGTAGAATTTTATCACTGAGGCTTAGTGATCCCATTTATTCAAGTTTTCACATTTGACATTCAAATGTTTCACTAGTAAGCTGAACTCAGTGAATTCTCTTAAGTACCATCAGGAGAATTCTATTCCTTTCACAACCTGACCATTTATTTAGCTTTATTGTTTAATTTCATTTTGTAAAAAAGTTTTACATTGAAAATAATAACATTGCAATACTTTGAAAATAATAACATTATAATAACATCTAAAAATCTGATTCAGAAGTAGACAAAGGCCAAGTAACTTTTAATACTATTATACTATTTTTTAGCTTCTAATTAAAAAGTTTTCATATCACAGTAACCTAAATATTTTAAAATACTCTAGGCAGTTCTTTAGTATTCCCGGTGATTTCACTAAGTCTTTTCACCCTGCAACAGCTGCAAGTTATTCCAATTCAGTATAGATTGAATCCTCATTCTGTATAACTCCAGTTGAAAGCAACTCTCTTACCCCATTAACAGCCTCAATAATTCTCTATTACTTTTCTAACCAAGAGTTAGGGAGAAATAAGTTTAGTATATCAGAATGAAGAATTATGAAACTTTCTTTTTGAAACTGATTCTCTATGGTCATGAACATACTTCTTTATTTGCCCATGTGGATTTCTATATTTAAAAATTTAAGAGTTTCTTAAATACTTAAAAGTTAGTATATTAAATATTTTTAAAAGTTTTTTTAGGTTTATTAAGTCTTATTTGGTAATATAAAGACAACATTCTGGGTAAAATATTTCATAGATTTTAAACAGTACAATGAACTCAGCACTTCACTGTTATTCCTCTACTACTTCCATATTGGTAAACATTTTTCTGTGCTGTTTTTCTGCATTTTATGCTGTGGGATGGGCACAGAATTATTGA